CAGCCCCTCTCCTTCCCCCTCTGCAGGCTTTGCCAACATCCTGGGCTCCTTCGTCTCATCGTATCCCGTCACAGGCAGCTTTGGCCGGTGGGTAGCAGGAGGGGGAGTGGAGCCCCAGCCCGCAGGACGCTCACTGGGGCTGTGTCGTGAGGGGGCCCTGCAAGATCTTGGGCGAAAGGTTGTGCGGACCCCGGTGGGTCCCTGAGCTCGTGTCCTGGTCCCCAGCTGCCTGCCGGGCTATGCATGGGTCCTCGGGTGACCTTCCCTCCCATCTCACCTGCTCTGTGGTCCTGCTGCAGGCTGGGAGCCGTGGGTTTGCTCGGTGGGGTCTGACGGGGAGGGTGGTTTTCCTGGGTGGGGTCTCTGGGCAGCGGGCGGGGGCAGCTGTGAGCCCTGGCCAGCCCCAGCGCGGCCTGGGACAGCGTGTTGCTTTGCATTTCAGGACAGCAGTGAACGCGCAATCGGGCGTCTGCACCCCCGGGGGAGGGCTCGTCACAGGTAGAGCCCCCACCCCCGCCGTGGATGCTCTGCATGTCCCCGTGCCCAGCACCCACTCCCCCTGGGCACCCTGGGTGTCGGGGCCCCGTGGCTCAGGTGCTCCCCGTCTCCCGCAGGCGCCCTGGTCCTGCTCTCGCTGGCGTACCTCACCTCGCTCTTCTACTACATCCCCAAAGCAGCGCTGGCCGCTGTCATCATCTCAGCTGTGGTCCCCATGTTTGACGCTGGGATCTTCAGGATGCTCTGGCGGGTTAAGAGTGAGGGCAGAAGCTGGGGGCAGTCAGTCCCCCCCGTGCAGCCCGGCTCTGTGCGCGGAGCAGGCAGTGTCCTGGAGGGCCCTGTGGCACGAGGACAAGGTGCAGTCGAGCATGGGTTGTCTCTCTTGCAGGGCTGGACCTTGTACCCCTCTGCGTGACGTTCTTGCTCTGTTTCTGGGAGGTCCAGTATGGCATCGTGGCCGGGGTGCTGGTCTCAGGGGTTCTCCTGCTCTACTCCATTGCCAGGCCCCCGATAAAGGTGGGCTTCACACCTCCCCTTGGATGTGGCGGGGCCAGCCGGGCTCACCAGGGAGCGGGGAGCTGGGAGAGGGCCCCCCGAGGGCAGTGGGGCGTTGGGGTGCAGGATGCTTCTGTCCTGCTCCCACCCTGTCCCACGTCCCCAGCCTGCCATCGGCGCAGCACAGGGACCCTCTTCAAAGAGCACGAGGAAGGAAGTATCCCAGGAGCTGAGAGCAGGGGGGGAGGCACTGCTGTCCCTGTCCCTGCTGGCACTGGGGTGTGTGCAGGAGGGGACTGTCCCTGGGGGATGGGGGCTCCTGCGTGTCCCCCTCCAGCCAGGAAGATGGTGCTTTGCTTTGTCGCACGGGCAGTTGTCCCTGCCTGGGGAAGGTCACAGCCCCGAGCTCCCCGTGACTCACCCCCCTCCTCCGGGGTCTTGTGCAGGTGTTGGAGGGGGACGTGCTCCTCGTG